CCTGTCTCCCTTTAGCTGTGGATCCTGACTCTCCATGTTGAGATCCAGACTGGCCTCGAGAGGATCCTGCGTGTGTCTGTGCAACTCCTGAGTGCCTTTCTGTGTCACTGGACTCACTGACATGAGATCGTCTTCTTGCAGTTCTACTGGATTCTGTCCTGGTGGCCTTTCTGTCCCCAGACCCATTATGTCTGGTGTCTTCTGACTGTCCATGGGTAGTTCCTTGTCTCCCTTTAGCTGTGGATCCTGACTGTCCGTGTTGAGATGCAGACTGGCCTCGAGAGGATCCTGCATGTGTCTGTGGGACTCCTGAGTGCCTATCGGTGTCGCTAGACTCACTGACATTGGATCCCCTTCTTGCAGTCCTAGCGGATTCTGTCCTGGTGTCTTCTCCATGCCCAGACCAGGCATGTCTTGTGTCTCCTGACTGTCCATGAGTAGTTCCCTGTCTCTCTTTAGCTGTGGATCCTGACTCTCCATGTTGAGATCCAGAGTGGCCATGTGAGGATCCTGCATGTGTCTGCGGGACTCCTGAGTGCCTTTCAGTGTCACTAGACTCACTGACACTAGATTCTCTTCTTGCAGTTCTACTGGATTCTGTCCTGGTGGCCTGTCCATGCCCAGACCCAGCATGTCTGGTGTCTCCTGACTGTCCATGAGTTGTTCCTTGTCTCCCTTTAGCTGTGGATCCTGACTCTCCATGTTGAGATCCAGACTGGCCTCCAGAGGATCCTGCATGTGTCTGTGGGACTCCTGAGTGCCTATCGGTGTCACTAGACTCACTGACACTGGATCCCCTTCTTGCAGTCCTAGCGGATTCTGTCCTGGTGTCTTCTCCATGCCCTGGCCAGGCATGTCTGGTGTCTCCTGACTGTCCATGAGGAGTTCCCTGTCTCCCTTTAGCAGTGGATCCTGACTCTCCATGTTGAGATCCAGAGTGGCCATGTGAGGATCCTGCGTGTGTCTGTGGGACTCCTGAGTGCCTTTCAGTGTCACTGGACTCACTGACACTAGATCCTCTTCTTGCAGTTCTACTGGATTCTGTCCTGGTGGCCTCTCCATGCCCAGACCCAGTATGTCTGGTGTCTCCTGACTGTCCATGAGTCGTTCCTTGTCTACCTTTAGCTGTGGATCCTGACTCTCCATGTTGAGATCCAGACTGGCCTCGAGAGGATCCTGCATGTGTCTGTGCGACTCCTGAGTGCTTTTCAGTGTCACTGGACTCACTGACACTGGATCCTCTTCTGGTAGCCTTATTGATCTCTGCCCTGTTGGCTTGTCCATGACCAGACCGGGCATGTGTGGTGTCTCTTGACTGTCCATGCGTAGTTCCTTGTCTCCCTTTAGCTGTGGATCCTGACTGTCCATGTTGAGATCCAGACTGGCCTCGAGAGGATCCTGCGTGTGTCTGTGCGACTCCTGAGTGCCTTTCAGTGTCACTGGACTCACTGACACCGGATCCCCTTCTTGTAGCCCTACTGGATTCTGTCCTGGTGGCTTGTCCATGCCCAGACTGGGTATGTCTAGTGGTGTCTCCTGACTGTCCATGAGTAGTTCCTTGTCTCCCTTTAGCTGTGGATCCTGACTCTCCATGTTGAGATTCAGAGTGGCCTCGAGAGGATCCTGCATGTGTCTGTGGGACTCCTGAGTGCCTATCGGTGTCACTAGACTCACTGACACTGGATCTCCTTCTTTCAGTCTTAGTGGATTCTGTCCTGGTGTCTTCTCCATGCCCAGACCAGGCATGTCTGGTGTCTCCTGACTGTCCATGAGGAGTTCCCTGTCTCCCTTTAGCTGTGGATCCTGACTCTCCATGTTGAGATCCAGACTGGCCTCGAGAGGATCCTGTGTGTGTCTGTGGGACTCCTGAGTGTCTTTCAGTGCCACTGGACTCACTGACACTAGATCCTCTTCTTGCAGTTGTCCTGGATTCTGTCCTGGTGGCTTCTCCATTCCCAGACCCAGCATGTCTGGTGTCTCCTGACTGTCCATGAGTAGTTCCTTGTCTCCCTTTAGCCGTGGATCCTGGCTGTCCATATTGAGATCCAGACTGGCCTCGAGAGGATCCTGCTTGTGTCTGTGTGACTCCTGAGTGCCTTTCAGTGTCCCTGGACTCACTGACACCAGATCCCCTTCTTGTGGCCCTACTGGATTCTGTCCTGGTGGCTTGTCCATGCCCAGACTGCATATGTCTAGTGGTTTCTCCTGACTGTCCATGAGTTGTTCCCTGTCTCCCTTTAGCTGTGGATCCTGACTCTCCATGTTGAGATACAGACTGGCCTCGAGAGGATCCTGCGTGTGTCTGTGGGACTCCTGAGTGTCTTTCAGTGTCGCTGGACTCACTGACACTAGATCCCCTTCTTGCAGTTGTCCTGGATTCTGTCCTGGTGGCTTTTCCGTGCCCAGACCCATTATGTCTAGTGTCTCCTGACTGTCCATGGGTAGTTCCTTGTCTCCCTTTAGCTGTGGATCCTGACTGTCCATGTTGAGATCCAGACTGGCCACGAGAGGATCCTGCGTGTGTCTGTGGGACTACTGAGTGCCTTTCAGTGTCACTGGACTCACTGACACTGGATCCCCTTCTTGTAGCCCTACTGGATTCTGTCCTGGTGGCTTGTCCCTGCCCAGACTGGGTATGTCTAGTGGTGTCTCCTGATTGTCCTTGAGTAGTTCCCTGTCTCCCTTTAGCTGTGGACCCTGACTCTCCATGTTGAGATCCAGACTGGCCTCGAGAGGATCCTGCATGTGTCTGTGCGACTCCTGAGTGGCTTTCTGTGTCACTGGACTCACTGACACTGGATCCCCTTCTTGTAGCCCTACCGAGCTCTGTCCTGGTGGCTTGTCCGTGACCAGACTGGGCATTTCTACTGGTGTCTCCTGACTGTCCTTGAGTAGTTTCCTGTCTCCCTTTAGCTGTGGATCCTGACTGTCCATGTTGAGATCCAGACTGGCCTCGAGAGGATCCTGCATGTGTCTGTGGGACTCCTGAGTGCTTTTTGGTGTCACTAGACTTACTGACACTGGATTCCCTTCTTGCAGTCCTAGTGGATTCTGTCCTGGTGTCTTCTCCATGCCAAGAACCAGCATATCTGGTGTCTCCTGACTGTCCATGAGGAGTTCCCTGTCTCCCTGTAGCTGTGGATCCTGACTCTCCTTGTTGAGATCCAGACTGGCCATAAGGGGATCCTGTGTGTGCCTGCACGACTCCTGAGTGCCTTTCAGGGTCATTGGAGTCACTGACACTAGATCGCCTTCTTGTAGTTCTACTGGATTCTGTTCTGGTGGCTTGTCCATGACCAGATTTGGTCTGTCTACTTTTATCTCCTGACTGTCCTTGGGTTCTTCCCTGTCTCCCTTTAGTTTTTTCTCTTGTTTGAGTCTCAGTTGAATCTGATATTGGCCTTCCACAATTTGGAGACCCTTTTCCTGAACTAGTCCCATAGCTTTCTTTTTCCCCTATTCTAGAGTCATGTTTGTCATAGCCAGAGGAGTGACTTGAGGTTAACTCATATTGATCATAACCAGAAGACTGTCTTGAGTTAGATCCATATTGACTATGTTTGGAGGGCCTGCCTGAGGAAGACCCAGAGCCAATACTGGAGGATTGCTCTGAGCTGGAACCGTGTTGGCCATAGCTAGACTGACGTGATCTAGACTCATGTCCAAAGCCCAAAGAAGGACCTGATCCAGTCCCAAAGATATGGGACTGATGTTTGCTAGATCCATATCCAAGGCTGGAGGATTGACCTGAGCCATATCTATTTTGTCCAGAGCTAGAAGATTGATATTCACCAGACCCATGTTGTCCAAACCCCAAGGACTCTCCTGGGCCAGACCCATGCTCTCCAAAGCTGGAGGACTGTCCTGAGGCAGAGGATTGCTCTGGGCTAGACCCATATTGTCCAAAACCAGAGGACTGTCCTGAGGCAAGCCCATGCTGATCAAAACCAGAGGACTGTCCTGAGCCAGACCCATGTTGACCAAAACCAGAGGACTGACCTGTGCCAGATCCCTGTTGTCCAAAGCTACAGGACTGACCTGAGCTGTGTCCATGTTGTCCAAAGCCAGAGGACTGTCCTGAGCCAGACCCATGCTGGCCAAAGTCAGAGGCTTGTCCTGAGCTTGACCCACGTTGGCCAAAGCTAGAGGACTCTCCTGAGCCAGATCCCCGCTGTCCAAAGCCAGAGGACTGTCCTGAGCCAGACCCATGCTGGCCAAAGCCAGAGGCCTGTCCTGAGCTTGCTCCATGTTGGCCAAAGCCAGAGGACTGCCCAGAGCCAAACGCACATTGTCCACATTTAGCAAATTCATTTGAACTAGACCCTTTTTGCTGAGAGTTTGAAAAGTGTCCACAAGAACCAGATCCATATTGACCATAACTAGAAGACTGACTTGTTACAGCCCCGTATTGTTCACAGCAAGAGGATTGACTTGAACCTGTACTCTGTTGTCTTCCACAGTTCTGTGTTTGACCACATGCACTAGATCCATATTCTCTCTGACTAGAAGACTGGCTACAGGATCTAGGCTCATGTTGACCATATCCAGAGGACTGACCTCCTGAAATACATCCAGGACCTAGTCCTCCACTACTTCCTGATTGATATCCTGACTGGGTACAGCTAGATTGATTTCCTTGCCCTCCAAATCTACCTTCCTGACAAGAAGTAGAAGCATTCTGTGGCCTTCTACACCCACCTGAATTGCTGGAACCACATGCATAGCTTTGCCTTCCATTGTCTCCTGAACCTCTAGAGCTAGATCCAAGCTTTTGTCCTCCACTATTTCTTGACTGAGTAGAGTTTGATTCATCTCCACTAGCATCCAATCCATGTGACAGACCACCATGACCTTTCCTTCTCCTACTCTTTGATCCAGATCCAGATTCATATTCCTTCTCAGATTCCCTGGAGGGGCTAATATGTGACTTGTTTCTTCTTTCCCCCAGCTCTCCAGAGCTGGAACCATGTCTTTCTTTGCCACTACTCCATGAGTGACCCGAGCTAGACCCATGGTGTCTTTTCTCAGATTGCTCTTGGTTTCCTGAGCTAGATAATCCACCTTGCCTTCCCCGCCTCCTGGAGTTTGACCCATGTCTATGTTTCATACTTTCCCTTAAGCCCTCAGAACCATAACCATGCTCCTCTCCCTCACTCCAACTTGAATGTCTGTAACCTGATTTCTGTCCCCTTGTATCTTCTTCCTCTTCTGTTTCACTTTCTTCCTTTTGGTGTCGATGACCACGCCTATGCTTCTTTGACCCTGAAGCTTTGCAGTATTCTTTGCTGAGAACCTTGTTGCAGGCCATAGCCAACTTGAATACCATCAGAAGAAACTCAGTAAAGTCCAGTCTTCGGTCATGATCTCGATCTAGTATGTGCATGATAACATCCACTGTATCTGGATCATCTGGGTTCTGTATCAAGTGACATACCAAAGGAGACCTAGTCAGCCTAGCCCACATAGGCAGGTAAAATATTCAGGTAGAGCTGTGGAATTGTGGATGTTTAACATTAGGTATTTTAAATCCAATCAAGTGTTACTTTAAACTAAAGCAGCCTAATAGGACCGAGCAGGTGAGAAGAGATAATAGAAAAGAATAAAATCTGTTGGGAACCCCAGCAGAATACAGTTCAAGGACCTACGCTAGGGGACTAGGTACTCAGGTATAGCGTTCAGGCAGGGGTTGAATAAATCAACTTCAGTAGCTGGTATATTTTAGTTTTACATGCATTTTAAACATTACATACTAATATATTCTATGTTAGGATTTATAATTTTAAAGGTAATAGCTGAGTCCTTCCCAAGTAGATGGAAGAAATGCTGTTTTTTCTTTGCAGTTTTTAGTCATCCTGGCTACTTGGTCAGCTCTCCTTGTAGGCATTTCCCTCTCTATACTTTTTCTTCCAAATTTGGTAGGGCAATCTTTTAACTCATGTTTTAGTACATATTTATATTCTGTTTTTTTCAGAAGGGAAACCTGGGGGCATGAATAAGTCTTAAGGTCTACATGGTGGGTGTACACAGGAAAATGAAAAAACATTCACCTTTCTAAAAATAAATAATGCCCCAGCAGACTTTCTGATGTCCCCCAAAAGTACACTCATAGAGTTTGCCCAAAGACCATTGAGACTGTGCACTTTTTAGCTAATCTTTGGTCACATAACAGAATTTACAAGACCCTAGCAGCCTTCAATCCTGGTGTATGAGTTCTCACCTTCAGAATTGGACGAAACTCTTTCTCCAGAAGTTCCTTTAGTTCATCTTTGCTCAGTGTGCCACATTCCCCATCTTGCTTGGTGTATTTGTAGAAAACATCAATGACTGTGACAACACTTCTCAAGAGGTCAGTCATCTTTTTGCAAGTTTAAGTGAACCTGAAGAAAAAAGAAACAAAAGACCCTATTATTCATGTTCTTTTCTTTTAATTTATAAGCAATTCTGATTTTAATAATAATCATGATGATTTTTCAAATCTCTTGTCTCTTTTAAACCTAAAATACTTCAACAAGTAAAGATGGGTTGGGGATCTTTCAATACAGTGAAAACTTTGTTAATTTTGAGTTACTTTGCTAAGTCATTGCATGTTGCTGACTGAACTAGGATTAGAGCTCAGATCTCCATGTACTGGGTGAATATATTCCTTACATAATGTCTCTACACTTTGTGTACTTTGGTGTTCTGGGTGTTGTCCTGGAGCTTCCAAAGTTTCCAGAACCACCCAGATGTATTGTCCCAGTCTCTCTGGTAATTTCACTGGTTCTTTTGAGCCAAAAGTGACAGAGCTTCTATCATACCTTTTTCTCTTCTGGGCACCAGAAGCTAAACAGGATTGTTAAGGCCTTCAGCAAATAAACATGGGGAAGTTACCCATTACCTTGGTGCTTCAGAAGCATGAGATAGCCCACAGCAGAGCTAAGGAACTATCCTGATCTCAGCTTCAACCAAACACTAATCTTATTCTTTTTCAATAACCAGGGAGAAGGGCTCAACAATGCAGGCAGTAGTTTGACTAGTGGATGACTCGATCTTGGAGCCCCAGGCACTGACTGAACAGGGAAGGGGCTCTACACCAGTGCTGGCCTCCTCTCTATTTCAGCTGGCCAACCCAGAAAAAAAATAGCATGCAAAAGACTAGGAAGAGAGTGTGGAATGGCCTAGAAAAAAGTGAACTTCTTTCATTATTCATCTTAACAACAAACTTATTATAAAAAGACCCCAGAATAAATGAAACTAACCAAATAAACAAACAAAAAGAAGAGAAAAAGAAAAAAAGTGAATAGGCAAATATATATTAACTCTGACTTAGCTTTTACTCCTAAATTTCGAAAGTGGACAACAATCAACCAAATATCCATCAATGTAGCTGGATGAATTTTCTCTCACCTGGTTCACCAAAGGAACACGTAGGATAAAGCCTGATGCAGCTTGCAGGGTGACTGGTGGATTGAGATAGTGACCTTTATATAGCTAAAAATGTGTGGGTGCTTTTGTCTGTGGGATGGACTGATTCATTTCTAATCAAATCTAACCCCACCTCTGTCCATGTTTATCTTCCTACTTCTTCACATTCTTATCTTTGAGATGATTGCAAGAAGGATAGTGCTGGTCCAGCTTCCAGTATGAGGACATGTTGTAGGACACTTTTTTCAGGGTCATACACATGTGAAAAGCAGAGACTATGTTTTAGAGGACTTGTGTAGTTCATTCCTTTCATTTAGTACATAAGTAGCAAAGTGTGATACTTGACAGGTGTGTAGTAAATGCATATTCATTTGAAAATGAACATAGGCCATGAACCTTACCTAATTCATATCTTTTTGCAATAATAATAACTACCAGTTATTGAGGACTTACTATGTGCTAGATATTGTGCTGAATATTTTTTGTATATCATCTCATTTAATCTTTATAACATTTCTATGATATTTGATTGTTCATCCCATAGAAATCGTTCAGGGAGCATGAGTCTTCTTCAAGGCCACATTGCCTATAAGTGGAGGAGCCAGGGTTTGAACCCATAGCTACCTTACTATAAGGTCCTTTCTTTTAACCATCATACTAGCTTACTTCTGTATATCTATCACAAACACCTATTATGTGGAAAATTACGCACTGTTTTGGGAGTGTCAGGCCCACCCAAACACAAAAAATACAAAAGAGTGATATAAGGAGTACTGTCAGCCAGGAAGACAAGAAATATCCTTTGGCCCCATGAAAGCTCTTTTCTAAGCTACAAAAGTATACATAAATAGACTATATACAAAAGTGATGTTTTAAGAACTGTTTAGGGTGAATCTAGAGTGAGCTTTCTTCTTGGGATTTTTTTTCTGGCATCCTGCTATCCATTGGTTGTCTGGCAGCTTTGGGCCTAGGCCCTTGGGCAAATGCCATTTATATACATAAAGTCTATCAAATATAATACAGAAATGAAAATAATCAGAAAGTTGTATTAACCACAAAGAGGCAGTTTTTCTGTACTTTGCCACCAGGTGATGATGCTTCTGCTGCTGCTGAAGATAACAGCTGTCATTAATTAAGTGCTTACTATCTTCTAGGCGTACTGGCTTTACATATTTATTCTTTTTTTAGATTTTTTAAAAAAGATAAAAAAGATTTTATTTATTTATTTGACATGAAGAGAGAGAACACACAAGCAGGGTGAGTGGCAGGCATGGGAGAAGCTGGGTCCCTGCTGAACAAGGAACCCGATGTGGGACTCAATCCTAGGACACTGGGACATGACCTGAGCCAAAGGCAGACACTTAACTGACTGAGCCACCCAGGTGTCCCTTATATATTTATTCTTTACAGTAACTCTGTAAGGTCAGTATTAATGCCATTCTCATTTTAAAATAAGGAAATGAAAGCATAGAGATATTTAATAATTTGTCCAAAATCACCCCAATGTTCATTGCAGCAATGTCTGCAATAGCCAAACAGTGGAAAGAGCTGAGATGCCCTTCAACAAATGAATGGATAAAGAAGATGTGGTCCATATGTACAGTGGAATATTACTCAGCCATCAGAAAGGATGAATACCCAACTTTTACATCAGCATGAATGGGACTGGAGAAGATTATGCTAAGTGAAATAAGTCAAGCAGAGAAAATCAATTATCATTTGGTTTCACTTATTTATGGAACATAAGGAATAGCATGGAGGACATTAGGAGAAGGAAGGGAAAAATGAAGGGGGGAATCAGAGGGGGAGATGAATGATGAGAGACTATGGACTCTGAGAAACAAACCGAGGGTTTTAGAGGGGAGGGGGCTGGGGGGCTGGGTTAGTCCAGTGATGGGTATTAAGGAGGGCACATATTGCATGGAGCACTGGGTGTTATATGCAAACAATGAATGATGGAACACTACATCAAAAACTAATTATGTACTGTATGGTGACTAACATAACATAATAAAATTAAATTAAACTTAAAAAAAGCACAGCTAGTAAGTGGCAACACTGAAACAGAAACCCATGCTGTCCAATGTGAAAGTTGGGCATATCTATAACCACATCTATAGCACATACTTGGGGGTGGGGGGGTTGATTCCTATCTCTGTGTTCCTCCAGGGAAGCCATCTTAAGTTATTCACCCCACCATCTAGACAGTGCCTAGAACTTAGTAAATACTTAGAATGGGTGTCTGTTCACAAATAATGGTTACAACACTGACATACACCCATTGCTCTTGTTGCCAGGGAGCCCTAAACCAAAATGGCCACAGAAAAAAGTTGTGTTGTCCCCTGGATATTGTGGTCATTTTCAATGGTAGGCATCTTTGGAACTGTGCTTGTTTTTGCTGATGCAATGTCAGTAAGATTTTCAGAGCCCAGACTCCACACCAAGACAGGTTTTAAAGCCCCCCTTGCATGGCAACTGCAGTTTAGAACTTTGAAGCCAGTTCCATTGCTTGCCTCTTTGGAACTCCACTATGCCCTCTTGTATGTTCTGTGTGTTCAGGTCTCTCTTCCTCTTCTGACTTGCTAACAGAGAGAAGAATAGCAGTGAGAACGATTTTGAACTCCAATCTGAGCTCTCTCTTTTCCTGGCTATGTTCCTTGGGAAGTTCTCTAATCCTCTGAGCCTCAGTTTTCCAACTTTATAAAAATGGGAATAATAACACCAACCTCACTAGTGGAGATTGCTTAAGATAATATCACATATAGGAGGCACTCAATCATGTTAGATAAAAATTAAGTTAGGAGAGCCAACAGTAGGCATTTATTTATTTATTTATTTATTTATTTATAAATTTTATTATGTTATGTTAGTCACCATACAATACATCATTAGTTTTTGATGTGGTGATCCACGATCCATTAACACCCAGTGCTCCATGCAGTATGTGCCCTCCTTAATACCCTAACAGTAGGCCTTTAAAGGCAGAAATACTACTTCTCTGCCAAAATCATGATAACTCATGATTCTTTTTATTAAAAAATAACAGTTTTATTGAGATATAATTTATATACAATAAAATTCAACCTTTTAAATTGTACAATTCAGTGGTTTTTAATATAGTCAAGGAGTTGTGCAAGCTTGTCATGATATCTGTGTTCTTAAGTAATTTACCTCACTTGTCAATGCTTCAGTTTTCCCTCTGTAATAACCACAAAGAGGTGTTAGTGTCAGGGTGCAAGTGGACTCGTGTCAGACCATTTTAGCTGCAATTCTTGGAAAGAGTTAGGGTCCTACCAGAGCTCCACTTTTTGGAAAGGAACCAAAGTGATGGTCTCTAAGGATTGATTGGATAACACCTGCAGAGAATTTTGCCTGCCTGGGTTCTGAAAGGTGGTTTAGTCCAGTGAAGCAGAACCCTGGAGCCTGGAGCTAGGGTGCAGTTTCAGCTACACTATTTCTCTGGGTCTGGGCCTCCTTCCTGCCCTATTCTACTTATCTCATTACCCTCTGCTCTTTCCACATTTACACTGCTCTGGGCTCTCTTCGATTTTAGGCCCATTTGGTGAAGCTGGTGCATTACTGGCCACTGGATTGTCCTGAGGCAGAAGCAATAACTTGGAATGTTAAAAACAATGGTAATTATACCCATGAAAGTACCAGCTTTTGTTTTTTCTTCACCAAATGTCAGCTGAATTTTGTTTCTATGGCTCATCCTGTTCAAGGGAGGGGTCTTTTTTAAGTTAAAGTACTTCTGCTTTGGTTTCCTATCATGTTCAAATGGAATTCCTTAATGCCTTGCCTTAGGGCCTAAGTGGAGCTGTGCCTGTCATAACAGCCAAGCACTTTCTCTGTGCTGGGACTCTTAGGAGCCCTGATTTTGGGATTTTTCAATGAACTCACCTTAGAGCTGATACTTGGGTACTGCTCTAGGGGACTAGAGCATATTAAATG